TGCAGTAGCAACAAACCAGCGCCTCCTCTAATCGACAGACAATTCCAATGCCACGTACACTTAGGGCACCCTACCACAGGTTTCATTATACCTCCTGTTCAGCATCTCACAATTTTTGAAAATGTTTTTTTTTCTTTAGCTTAGGGACAAAAGTATACCTGCCGACCCATGTCTTCTAGATAAGAAACAAAGGCAACGGCTCGGATTGTGCTCGCTGGACTTTACATTCATACTTCTATGGCCCGGTTTCCTTCTTGAACGCGCAGTGCCTACTATACTTCATATTATCGGCGACAAGATCACCATGTTATCTATTGCGCATGAACGCATTTGCATACGTACAACGGTAATTTATCGGAGCGCAATGCATAACATAGCGCATGTAGTGTCCGCAGACCTTTCGTGCTTATTACCTTTGTGTGCAGTTATAATGACCATTGAATAAAACTGAAATTTCCTAGTGTTAGCGTGAGTGGTGATTTTTGCCTGTTAGAAGTGAAGAATACAAGCATTGTGCACGCTAAAGAACCTGTGTATGTTGGTTTGATATGTGCGGTTTATCGTCTCAAAACCACCATATGATTATGAGAGACGCCGTAGCGGAGGACTCCGGGAATTTCAACCACCTGGGGTTCTTTAACGTGCACCTAAATTTGAGCACACGGGCCTACAGCATTTTCGCCTCCATCGGAAAATGCAGCCGCCGCAGCCGGGATTCGATCCCGCGATCCACTACGGTGGTTTCTGTACGGCGTCAGGCCGGTCAGGCCTCGAAAGCACGCGAATCCCCGCTCTGACGTCACACGGACGCTGTTCACACACCAGGCCAATAACTTCCTGGCACTTTTGGTCACTGCCAATAATTTCCTCGCATTTTTGGTCACTTGTTATCGATATTGTTATTATCTAAATAAAGAGAATCCCTTCAATTTACCGTTCTTTAAGTCTTTCTTATAGAAATTTCTACCTCAACTATCAAGTGATGCTTTCTTCCGACAACCATAACTAAGCAAGACGTGCACACCACGTGTCCCCCACCCCCCTACGGCATTTCTTTTTCACGGAATGCCTTCTTCCTCGCCCGATTCGCCACGGCGGCCTTATTGTCCACCCCACGATCCCCTCGCCTTTTTACTGTTGTCCTCTCCCACTTCTTTGTTTGCATTGGGGTAGAGAGTACGAGGCATACACACACAAGCACTACATAAATCTTTTGTAATCGCGCTTTTTTATCGTGCATGGACGTACTGCATACACCGCAGACACATAGCTCAGTAAGTTTGTAATGTACACAGTCCGTCCCTGTACGATAAAAAAATGCGATTACCCAAGATGCAACACCAACTAGCCCTTGCAGCTGCTTTTATTGCTAAGGAAATCTGTAGCAACCTTGAAAAAGAGAAGTCCGCTTGTAGAAACATCGGCTCGTGCACCCACTCGGTTTTCGAATTTCTTATTGCAGCGTTCCCTTTCTTGCCTTTTTTTTCATTTCTACTGAGGCAGAAGGCTTTCCTTGTTTTCTCAATAAGAGCCTAAGTTTCGCTGCCCTAAACATTTTCTTCGCTTTGCTGACTCTGTGTGCCTCTGTTTAAAGAGAACGCATGCCTAGAGAATAAAAACAGCATGACTAACCATTTAGAATTTTAGTGCATTAGGCCGATAACAGCTGCAGCCTTTAAGACAAACATGCACCAGAATTTTTACTTTTTATATATCAGTATTGATGCGCATCTAAGTTAAACAATTCACATCAATAAGGTATCTAAGGCATGCACACACACACCCAGCTTGCACCTCAGCGCTTTTAACTCAACCAACATGCTTGTCAATGTACTAAAGTTCCAGTATTATGGTCTCCAGGCTGAAACACAACTAATATATTTAAGCCTAATTTTTCGCAGTTATATTACAGCAAAGTGCACTAAGGCCTAAGATCCAAGATGGCAATGTTTGTATATTCTAGAACTGCCAAGACGAAAATGCTTCATTTCTGATGCCACATGACAATCTCAATATGAAGAATTTACATATGTATAATGCAGGGCCCCTGTCTGTATGTATTCACTATCAGTCATGCTTCCTTAAAAAAAATTGTTTAGTAGCCCCCTGCTATGGCACCACCCATCTGCACCCTGATCTTCGACAAGGACAACTAATTGATCGATTTATAGTGGGGTTCAACATTCCAAAACCACCCTATGATTATTAAAGACACCGTAGTGGAGGGCTCTGGAAGTTTTGGCCACCTGGTGTTTTTTAACGTGCACCCAAATCTGAGCACACAGGCCTACAGCATTTTTCCCTCCATCGAAAATGCAGCCGCCGCAGCCAGGATTCAATCTTGCGACCTGCAGGTCAGCAGCAGAGTCCCTTAGCCACTAGACCACCGCGGCAGGGCGCACAAGGACATTTAGCTATAACCATAAAACATTGCTAATGAAACAGCTATGGCGATCACACACAAGCACACTAATATTTTAGGTAAGCGGCAAATCATTCTCATTTTACATTTTAGAAATAAACAGCGGTGCCTCTTCCGCAACTTAAGAACCTTAGTTTAGCTGGGTGCTTAGTGTAGAGACATAACTCGCAGAGAAAGCCACAAAACACGCATACGTCCACCTTTAGACAACCTGTTCAATTTTCCTCAACAGGTTTGGTGAAGTGATGCCATGAAAAATGGCAAAATGGATAAATTGCAAAAACAAATATGAAGGCTTTTCTACACTACAGAAATTCTTGCACAGTGCATCTTGTCTTTGCTACACTTGTTACGTGCCGTGAAGTGGTGGTTCGTGGGGCCATGGCCTGGCTCGAGAGAAGATGCAACGAGCCCTCTCATTCACATATATCGCATCACTGCTCTACTAAGACCGTGGCTAAACACACAAAATGCTACACTGCTCCTAACAAGGTGGAACACACCAACACTGGGCATGGACTTTTGTAGTGCCTGAAAGCTGCCTAGCAGGGTCAGGAACTTGTCTATGATAGTAATAAGAAGAATTTGGATTTTAGTGATATCCAGAGTGCACGAAACACTGTTTCACACAACATTAACTGTTGTACTAGATATTTATTATTTGAAATGATGCCCAATCACATCACACCCAACTAATGAACACATGCAAACATATTTGGCATCACTCTGCAAGAGTGCACTGCACTGCAGCCTTTAATAGCTCCAGAATTACCTGGATTTTCGTTTGAGCCAGCAAAACAAGTTAGAGTAAATGAAACCAATATTGTTGATAAAAAATAAAGTAACTTATAGACACAAATGTTTTCACCTTGAGTGAAGAAAATATTCAAATTTCTTGTTAGCTTTACAAGAGATGTGAGCATTATCCAACTACAAGCAAAGCTGCCAAAATAGAAAAATCGTATATGGCTTAGCAAAGTGAGAAGCTTTTGGCTCCAACCTCTCTCAGCTAATTATAGTAGAACAGATGTCCAGCAATAGACGTCTAGCAACAGATGCTCACCATGTTCAATTGAGGTTTTATCTATCAGATACATGCAGCCTTCGCAACAGAGCATTAGAGGCAAAAGGCAAGATACTTTTTTCGGTATTCATTAGATTGTGCTTAACAAGGAACAAAGCCCCTTGATCTATCCCTCTTCTTTTGTAAATTATTAAAAAGGTAGTACATCTGTGCAAACACATAATCTTTTAATGTTATTAATAAATGATGCAGCATCCAAAGTTACTTTAAGCTACAGGTGCAATGAGAAGCTGGAAAAGTTCAATAAATGCACTGTACACAAAATTTATGAGCAGTCTAACATCTAGTCCAGTCAACAAGGTTTGCATTTGGTGCATTATAGACCCTTGATTTAAGTACTAGTGCACCAAATTATGACCATTTCACCATATTATGAAAATATGTAGAACTTAAATGCTTAATGACAGTGTACCAGGGTGTACAATGGCCATCTCTAACAAGCAAAAATATACTTTCTTTTCTTCAACAAAACAAAAAGCTAACTGGTCTTTGCTTGTGCGACCCGCACAACCAACAAAGAGATATGGCTAATGCAATAAGAAAAACTGTAGTCTGGGCTTATTACAAATATACTGTTAAAATTTTGCACAAACAAGGATAGGACCACTTTGTACAATGATGTCAGGTGGCTTGTCAATGCATAATTGGCATTTTGTACTGGCATTACATCTTATGCAAAGTAGTTCAGTGTAGTGCAAATCTTGGGACATGGTGCACACATAGGAAAATAACAGTCAGTAGACCCAGCTTACAGACCTGAGGAAAAAAGGGCAGATGAGGTTAAACATTTGAGGTGGTGTGTTGCTTGCACCGCACCATGTTGGCTCTAGTCCAGATGCACACTTTATTAAGTGCACTCACTGAATTACACAAAGTTTACTAATGCACTTATACAACCATGCTTCATGTGGCTCTTGTAACTGACTAATTTAGCTCATCATTCTTTAACTTTACAAGGAGAACACACTTTCCCCTTGATAGTTCAGTTTACTTGGTAACACCCTATGGTCCAACTATAGTTGCACTTTCAAGATGTGCTCAATATAAAAACAACTTAAATGCACTAGGTGGATCAGAGTATAATTGCAATACTCTGGATAAAGGAATATCCAAAGGGTTTGTGACAACTTAGAGCTAATAAGTGCACCAATACATCTAAACACTCAATAGCCAGACTGTCAGACATGAGTAGAAGTGTGTAAACACGAAGGTTTAGACACAGCTATGAAAACAATAGTTCAGCACAGCCTTCAATCCTGCTGTAAGCTTGACTGAAAACAAAACAAAATAACTGAAAACAAAAGCTATCAGCAGTAAACAGCACTGTTTAAGGCAATGAAATGTATTTGCAGCACTATAAGAGCTGCCACTTTCGATTCTCTCAAAGTTAAGCAGATCATGCACAAGATCGCTGCCTAAAGAGCGTCCCAAAACCACCATATGATTATGAGAGATGCCGTAGTGAAGGGCTCTGGAAATTTCGACCACCTAGGGTTCTTTAACGTGCACCTAAATCTGAGTACACGGGTCTACAAATTTAGTTTAGGTAGAGCAGGATGCAAAAGCTGCCAATTAAATTATTGCGACATTCACAGCTATAACCATGCATTGCTTCTTCATTTCATACCATTAATTTATGCCTTTGTGCTAGAAAAGAATAGTTTAAAACAATGACAGTACTTCAAGATAGTTATTTACAAGATAAGAAGCCCTGTTGCATGGCCTGCTTAATTATGAATAAAATGTTACTGGTTGACAGCTAGGTATATACAACACGAGATAAAAAATTCTTACAATATGCTACGTTAACAAGCTTTGTTCATGCTCTCTGCTGCTTCCAAAAAATGCACTGCACACTAAAACACAAGCAAAGTTTTCACACGAAAATCTGCTATAAAGATAAGTAATGCCCCACATAAACCATACACTTGCGGTGACTTTTTTGCATTTTTGACTTCAATAAGAGAAAGAAAGAGACTGCAAGATAAAACATTTCTAAAAGTCACCAAATATTTAGATATATTGCACCACATTCGTCTACATATGTCTACACATCTGGTGGGATGCATGAACAGCATATGAGAAATGTGTTCGTAGCTCCGAACACTGATCGGATAATGAAATACGAGTTTCTGCAAGTTAACAGAGCTGAAATATGCTAGTAAAAAAGATAAGACTTTAGACAAGATAATAAAAATTCACTATAAGTGACAAAAACATATGCTTGCACAATGCACAAACAGTCAAATGTCAGGTTGAGAAACTAGGCTTCAATGTGAAACTGACCATACAACAAAGCTTCACCGCATGCATTTTGAAAAAGGTCCTCCATTAACAAATGTTGTAGAGGTAAGGCTTCACTGGGTCGTGACCACCCAGCTAGCAGGCACCCACTGTGGTTCTGCTTCAACAGATTTCACAGCTGCCATCAGCTGGTAGAAGGCACGAGGAAGCTCCTCGTTCACAATGGTCAAATCAAACATGTGGCCATACAGGAAGTCCATCTTGTGGCCTAAATAAACTATGTCATGGAATTCATCGTCCTGGAAAAAAAATAATTTGATCCAGTTGAGCTGACCTAAACAATCAATAAAAATGCTGCAAGAAACATGCATAAAACGGCAGATAAATCTCACAGAGCTCCATTGATCAATTTTTTTTGAGATTTTTATTTCTACTATAATTCTTGCCTACATGAAAGCAGAATATTGCCACAAGTTTGTGACGCATCAGAAGTGTGCAAACATAATCAAACAAAAAAAAAATGTATAGAGACAAAGTTCAGTGTCATGATGCATGCAGACGCAGCTTCTTGCCCCTTTGTCATTATCCCCCCATGTACGTTCCAGCCAGTGTTGTAATGTGTAATTTTTTGAGTAATTTAAAAACGTGTGTGTCACCAATTCATAACTGTAACAGGTAAAGTACTTGCGTCACACTTCTGCAATAACGTGAAGTGTCACGCTGCTGGTAACGTTTTACTTCAATCAACTAAAAGGGTCTTACACAGAACTGCTTTGTTTCATAGGCGACACTTTCCCAGAGCTATTCTTTCGCGGTAGTGGACTGCTATAACCTTGCCAGGCATCGACAATAGGAGTAGTATCATCTAATGTGTTCCAACGACCACCTACTTGGCGCAGGTGTGGACATGTTCACTAAGGAGCGAGCAAGCTGCCCGACGACAGCTTAGAAATTACCGTAATTACTCAAATCTAACGCGCACCTTTTTTCCGGTTAAGCGGGTTCATAAATCGCATGCGCATTAAAATCGAGTACGAAAAAAAAAAAATGAATACGGTCATTCTATTGCCATCGGCATTTCCAAAATGGCCGCCCCCTACGTGCGTCGGCATGGCGTGTCGGCCATTTCTGCCTATGTGTTTCCCATGTGCGGCACTTCGTACGTGTGCTGAGGAGTTCGTCATTTTGTAGTGCATTAGCATCGACGGCATGGAAGGGCAGACTCTAAATTGAGACTCGAAGAGTGCACCACGATGCCGCTTTTAAAAGAAAGGTCATCGGGTGTGCAGAAACGAACGGAAATCGGGCCGCATCGCGGTCGTTCGGAGTTCCTGAAACGTGCGTGCGGGACTGGCGGAAACAAAAGCAGAAGATTGTCGACTGCAAAGCTTCACGTAAAGGCTTCAGTGGACTACAGCAGGGTGGGTTTCCGCAAATCGAATAGCTGCTCGGTGAGTATGTGCTTGAGCAGCGAGCGGCACAGCCGCCCGTGACGACAGAACTGCTCCAAGTGCGGGCTATGCAATTAGCCTTATAAAAAGGTCCAATGCGAAGCCAGTTTAATGCGAGCAGGTGCTGGCTAACTAACTTTATGAAGGGCAAAGGCTTTTCCCTCTGAAGATGAGTGGGCATATGCGAAAAGTTTTGCGGAGGAGTACGATGAAAAGCTTCAGAGTTTTCAGAGGTTCGTCCTAAACCTGCGGCACAACAATGGCTACCTGCTTGGGCAAATCGGGAATGCCGATCAGACGCCTCTTTACTTCGAAATGCCTGGCACTACAACCGTCGCAAGTTCGCCTGATGTCGCAAGCAAGTTCGCGTGCTGACGTCGGTCCACGGTAAAACTACAGGGACGGCAATGCTCTGTTACACGTCAGATGGGCACAAGCTTCCCCCGTACGTCATATTTAAATAGAAGACACTCCCGTAAGGAATCACTTTTTCGAGTGGTGTGATCGTGCGGGCCAACGAGAAAAATGGGTGCGCGTTGCAATCGATGTCTTACTTTTTTTTTTTTTCGTCCTCGAAACCAGGTGCGCGTTACAATCGAAGGCGCGGTAGAATCGAGTAAATACGGTACAGCTTTTCCTTAAATTATTCAAGTTGTAGCTGTCAGCGATTTGTCCCTGCAACACCACAGGGCTGTTTCAAGTTGTACTTGTCAGCAATTTGTCCCTGCAATACCATAGAGCTGTTTACCAGTTTTGTTTTAGAAATCAAATTTGCTTCTATTTGCTTTTAACTGCAGCTATACAATTCTGGTTGTTGAATTCCTCAGCAAGCAAGGCTGACCTTTAATGCCTTCACATAAGCACTCGTAATTTTCGTGGCAATTGCATAGAGTAAAGGGCCAATGATGATTTAGGCTGGAAATACTTTTTTTCAGTGAAATTTGTTGCAAGATCAGAACACGGGTCACGTGCGGTGCCGTAGTTGTCTGCTGCCAGTGTCCGTAACTAGTATCGCAAGAAATAACGAGAAAAAAAAACTCGGTAAATAAAAACCCACCAAAGACACAATGGGATTCGAAAACGGGTCTGCTGCATGCCAGCCCAATATTCTACTACTGAGCCACACCAGCGCTTGGAACTCGCTTCCAAACTCGTTTTAGGCAGGCTTGATGTCGGGAAAAGAATTGCGTTATTATAAGCAATAAAGGGTTTTAGAACATAAAAGGGAGAACCATGCATCACACAATGCGAGTTGCGTAACGAGTAGGTCGTCGAATGCTCTAACCCATTACAAAAGCTTTAGGTCTAATTTTTCATTGTCGTTAGCGACAGCTTTGAAAAATTGCACAAAGTACCTTGCAAGCATGTAGCAAATACCACACTTCTCCGAAGAATGATAAAAAGGAATGCCTCCCTGTTACACAAAAATTGATTTAGGGCATAGTGGGTACCCTGCAAGTGTGTTTGTAGCAGTTACCTAAAGAGTGTTTCAAAATAACCTTTCAAAGGCCACTCTTCCCGCTTTCGTTGTGGCTGTGCTGCCCGTTCAGTGCAGGCCTGGCGGCATTTTCTTTAATTCGTGATTGTACAACCTTCAAATGAACACCGATCACAATTTAAACAAGAACAAAGATGTTCTGGTTCCGATACAAAGTACTTACTTTTACTTAATTATATAATTGCTACCACGCTTTAAAGGAGATAATTGCACTCTTCACATGTCAGGGAATATGTGACAAAAGTTCCATCTTTATTTGGCCATCATAAATACCAAAAACGTGTCGTCAAATCTTAAGAAGTTGCCCAAAACTGCATCTCTAGAAAAACGCATTATAAACAAAGAAATTATCTGTGTGGCAATGATGCACTTTTTAAATTATTTTGTTCCATATGAGAGATTGGGAATCATGATTGTTTTGTGCATGTGGCTTTGGCAAAGTCCTCATGTGAAATGCAATGGCAAGCTATCAAGGGACAATTTAAAGGCGACTCTAGGTAAAAAACTCCTTTTAGTTTTTTATAGCCACTTCGTGCTTCTTAAAGGCGATATTAGCCTACTTTGAGTTTAACTGCAATTTTGATTTCTTTTGGCAGAAAAGTAGAGAAATGAAACTTGTGACAAAAATTAAAAACAAAAGATTTCATTTTAGAAAAAATTGGAACTTTTTGAGTCACGTATCCCCTTAAAAAATTACAGCAGCAGCACAATGCCACACAAGCAACAATGCATTCCACAAATGACATTTAAAAACTAAGTAAAGTATTTTGTGATATCTGTGCTTTTTAAACTGCTGAACTTGTACAAAAAAGTCAACTATGAGGAAACTGTTATGCCATGCTTCCAGAAGTGGCTTGGATTCTTAGATGAGTCAGCAAAGATTTGCTGATCATTTCTTAAGACCAACAAGTGGCTAGCATAGCCAAGATTGTGTGGGTGCTCTCTTGTCGACTTAACAAGCAGCATGACAAGTTTCAGTACAAGCCACTAGAAATAAATGCCATCATGTCTCCACACAGACTAAAAAAGAAGTACTACTCAAATGCTGCTTCTGATTAAAGAAATAAATCTCAAATACGCACCGTAAAACCTCGTGAGCAGTTTTCATCAAATGTAGAACGTGCACAGGCCTTATTTCTTGTTTCTTTCAGAATTTCGATGCTTGGAGGCTTGATAAATATAACAAATGGCTTAAGCTCAGCTGTTCTGAGCATTTTCAGTGCCTGAAATGTAGAACTGTTTAGTATTCTCAGGAAAAAAAAAATCTGGCTGCACAAGTTTCATGTTAACAGATTCTAGATTATAGAGTTCCAGACATGACAAAAAGAGAACAGTAGTATTGCTACAGTAGACTTCCTTTAAGATGAACTTGAAGGGACCATGATCATTTGTTAGTCTTATCAGAAGTGCCCCCAAAAAACCAAATGCTAACATGCCAAGTACACCCAAATATGTTGCTTGAAAACATTGAATGAAGTATACTTATAATGGGGAGCGAAAGAACAAAAAAAAAGCATTTATTTGGCTCAGCTTGATAAAAAATATGCTTTCGAGTAGAGTATTTAGACTAATCTAACGAGTACTTGGTTTCAAGAGTTCATAAATATGCTCATGAATAAATTGCTGTCACATTTTAACAATAAAACTGTAGCACGACCCTGCTTTGACGATTAGAAAAAGATAAAAAGGGAGAGACAAGCACAACTTTCCTTCGAAGAATGAAAAATTTATTCTTCCGTCTGTTCACCTTTTGAGAGGCTGTCTTACTGGCTTTACAACTTTCAAATACGCCTCCGTTGCATACCACTACCTTGGCAAAGCCAATATATGCCAAGTTGCTAATGAAGTCTGCAAGCTTTATTTTTTTTTGAGTTTCGCATGTTTTCTTATTTTCAGCCCGCTGTAACTTTTCCTGAATGACATACAACTGACAACCTTCGTTTGTGCTACTCACGATCACAAGCCTTGGGCACACTTTTGACATGACACAGCTATATTTAGTGTGCAAAATGACCTTCCTTTGTCGTGAACTTTCATAATGAGAATGGCACACCGCAATTTGCTGCATTTCATTGGGAAAAAATACGATGTGCTCAGGCCCTATGAAAAACGATGCAAACTGGCCACAACATGCACTCAGGTGCCATTGTGTGACGGTGATGACAATGCATCCGACTCCTCTGATGGGAGTGGTAGTGGCGCATAAGTGGTTTTCATTTAATGTGATTATATAAAGTACAGACAACTTTGTTGCCGTTTTCACTTTCATTTGGCTTTTTTCCCCCCTTCCCTTGCATTTTCCCCTCTAGCCAAGCTCTTGTAATCTTCTGTTCTCCATAGTACTCCTGTTGGGGAACTGAAGAATGCGAGGAGGATACGAAAGGACGAACGCAATTTGTCGCTTTCTTTGCTGATAAAGCCGCCCTTTTTCCATTTACAGGCTAGGAGTGAGGGAGATGCTAGCTTTATGTGCGGACCCTTCTTTTCCATTTATCTCGCTTTCTCTCTCCACGTCACAATTCCCTTTCGATTTGGTTTGACTCTTTGCACCACGAAGTCGAGGTTTTTTCCCTCCATTTTGTTTTCTTTTGTTTGCCTGAATGTCACCATCGAGGCTCGTTCGTTGAGCATAATCCCCGTCGTTGTTGGTCACTGCGTTCATCATGACAGAAGAGCCTTGTTAGGCAGTTTGTCTTTTTTCACTGATGCTATGGCAAACCAAACAAACACTCCCGTGTTGTTCGTCTTATGAGAGAATGCGTCTAAACAGAGTTCGTATTAACAGGATGTTACTGTATTTATGAATTCACAGTGAGTGAATAAGTAAACCGCAAAACAATAACATATTGAAAATGCATCACTGCACAATACGGTGTACAATACACAAGCTAATAATCAATCACAAGGAAATTTTTTAGAGTGATCAACAAACCAAGAACACCTACTAACTGCCACTGGCAAAGATCATGTCACTTGGCCACAATTTAGCATCACACGAAGCTTCACATTTTCCCCCAATTTTAAGATGTACAATTTCGTACATTCAAACTATTATCAACCACTATTAATAGTGCTGCACGATATCTGGTCTCCTTGCCATTTTTTGTGGGCCCATTTACAAGAGAAACAGCATGAAACACAGGACAAAGACAGAGCTGGACCAGTGCTTGATTTGTCTCAGTTGCTGTCCTTTATTTCGCGCCATTTCTCGTTTTTTTTTAACATGTTCAAACTGGCCCAAATATAACTCTAGTGCATATTTACACGTCTACAATGACTCGAAGTTTAGTACACACTACACCTCTGGAAGCCCACATAAATTTTTAAATAGCACAGCATGCAAACAGCAGCCATGTGCAGAAGTGGCTTACACTCCGGGCTTTTCAAAGCACTCTGGTTTAAATACCCTACTTTACATTCAAGACTTGAATTTTTTTTCTTGCTTCTTAAAGAAAAATTAAAATTTTCGATGCAAGAAGTGCAATTATGGTGGCAATTATACATTTATCTGTTTTCTGCTTCTGAAAACAGCTGTACATGCTGCTCCCACTGGTTATAAAAAAAGCCATTTCATTATTGTTCCATTACCCTACATGTACGTTGGAATGTAGAATTGCATATCAGCTGCTTAGGAGCTAGCAAATGCTTGCTTTGGAAAGCTTCATTAACTGGAAATGGTGGTAACTTTGCCCAATCTGAAAACTCAATAACCATTAAAGAAATCAATAAACAAAACTTACACAAGATTGATTGATATGTGGGGTTTAACATGTGGGGTTTAACATCCCAAAACCACCATATGATTATGAGACACGCTGTAGTGGAGGGCTCCGGAAATTTCGACCACCACGTGCACCCAAATCTGAGCACACGGCCAACAACATTTCCGCCTCCATCGGAAATGCAGCCGCCGCAGCCGGGATTGAATCCCGCTACCTGCGGGTCAGCAGCCGAGTACTTAGCCACTAGACCCCCGCGGCGGGGCAATTTACACAAGAATGAACTTTTCTAAGACGTCAAAAGAATAAAAAAAAACAGTTCTAAGCCCAACCTTCAGGCTTCATACCATGGCCTCACTAACATACTCATTACATCAATGTCAATAAACACCTATAAGACACCATTGCATTCATACCTGCGGATGTGGATTCAGCACGCATGTGTAGCCAAGGTCAACAATGGCTCGAACAGTGTCAAGGCTGGTCCCATAGAGGTTACCCCTGTACTCCCCATGCTCAACGAAGCGGCCCAGTCGAATCTTCTCCTCCATTTCAGACCGGCTCACAAAGTAGTAATCTCGACCATCAATCTCCCAAGGTTTCATGGGACGACTTGTATCTTGCACAGCAAACAAAAGACACTACCATTAGAGACCGTTAGCTACACACTAATAGCAATGCAAGTGCTGCTTGCACAGGTGGTTTAGAGACTTTGGCAGACAAATGCACAAAAGTGGGGTCACTAAAATAAAATTAATCCTTTTACTACCATGCCTTGAGCACAGTTGGGCCAGCTGTGCACACTACTTTTGTGGCATAGGGTGCTGTACAAACAACATCCTGTTATAAGTAATGCATTACAGCTAATAATAAAGAAATATGTATTAGCAAATAAGGTTTTGATACCAACTAAAGTGGTCTTTTTCAGCAGTTATGAAACTAACATGAAATTCCAGCGATTATTTATTGTACAACAAACCTTGAGACATTCAGACAGACAGGGCTATCATCTAGGCACTTGAGTCCCGACTGCTGCTGATATCATAAACCTTGCCATCCAACAGTATAGATTAACCACCTCTTGTTCACTTCCTTCCAGGAGTGAAGAGTATGCAGGTATGCTATAAAGATCAAGCGAAAATATTTAAAAATCAAAATGCCACTATAATAGACAAAGGCAACAGATATTGCCAATCGAATCACTAAAAAAATGTTTTTTATGAGCCACACTTCCCACCCAGCAAACCAGCTGCTTTGGTAATGCGACCCGGCTGCACATTGTCGTTTTCTGACATTAGTAGCTAATATGTCTGATGTTTCTTAACGCTTTTTCATTGCAGTTACTGAATATATGTTTACATTAGGCACTTGAAGTCAAGCATATTCAAAGACAACTTGATTTTTTCAATACTACTGTAGCTCTTGTGTTTCAAGGTATTCACCATCAAATTTTACAAGCCAAACACTGATTTCATATTCAGAGACCGGAGTCTTGACACAACGATAAACCCCCCTCCCTTAATATGAGGATATTAGTGATTAAATAGCATGTAGCCAGTATAAAGTGTAGCTGATAAAAAAATCATAGCTGCTGTTAACTACACCTGGCTCCTATGAGTATAATAATTGATGAGATTTTACGTCCCAAAACCATGTGTGAAGAAGAAAACGCATCGTTGGCAAGCGACATCGCCACCGCTTGGGTACTGGGTTCTGGGCTTCTTTCGATCGCCTCATGCTGATCGTCACCGGCATCTGCTTGACCGTTGCTTTGTCCTGATCGTGTTTTCATCGTAGGGACACCGTCGCAGCACACGCCAATAAGCCCCTTTTCAATTGGTGGAGGGTGCTGACGTTCCCCGTCGCTTGAACCTGGGTGCGACCATTTGCCGTCGCCTAAACCTGGAGCTGCGCAACCGAACGCTACCTCCCATCATGGCCACCAACAACGCGCAACCTGGCTCTTCCACTTCACCCTCCAGCAACCCCGGCATTCTTCACTTGCGAGAGCCCAAGGTCTTTAGCGGAGCTGATGAGACCGACGTGGAAGACTGGTTCACCAAATACAAACTGGTGAGCGCGAACAACAAGTGGGATGGCGCGGACAAGTTGACTAACGTCATCTTTTACTTCACTGACGTGGCCAAAATGTGGTACAACAACCACGAAAACTACATTACAACGTGGTCCATTTTCAAAACGTCGTTTGCTGACGTTTTTGGCCGACCCGCTGTCCGCAAGTCAGAGCCGAACAATGCTTGCGGACTCGTGCACAGAAGCCATCGGAATCGTTCACCAGTTACATCGAAGACATTATTGGTCTTTGCAACCGTGTGAACACCGCCATGCCCGAGTCGGAGAAGATTCAACACATCCTCAAAGAGATAAATGACGGCGCATTTCAGATGCTCCTGGCCCGTAATCCGGTCACCATTGCGAAACTTGTCAGTTTATGTCAAAGTTTCGAAGAGTTGAGGAAGCAGCCCGCCCTTACTCGGGCATTTTCCTCCCACGCCGACTCGCTCTCCAGCCTTACTTCTGTTCCCGATCCCTCACCAACCATGCAAGAGAATAAAGACTGTGCGTGAAGAAGTAGCTCGGCAACTGTTGTTAATTTCCTTCACGCAGCAGCCGCCATCCTCTCGTCCGCACTCACCACTCCGCGATGTTATTACTGAAGAGGTAGCTCAGGCTGTTCCCGTCGCTGCCCACCAGCAGCCTGTGGCCATGCCTGTTCCCTATGCGCCGGCTATGCAGCCCTAGGCCGTGCCTCTTACGTATGCCCAGGTGGTACACAATAGACCCCGCCAGCAGCATTTGCCACCCATGGCTTCAGTTGCTCCCCACTCCGCCCCTCTTTCGACACTTTGGGTCGCACCGCGAGTCAGCAATCCCTGGCGCACTCCAGACAATCGACCGATCTGCTACGCCTGCGGTACTCCAGGATACGCGGCACGATATTGTCGCCGTCGCTTCCAACCACTCCACGACGCTACTCGGCCATTATTTTATGACCCACAGCCCATGCACCTACCTGCTCCCTATCCCTCACCACAGTATGGCTACAGTAACCATCCCGAGTCTCAGTCACGCCAGCCCCCGTCTCAGACTCACTCTCCCCGCTCCCCGTCTCCTCGCAGGCGATCACTTTCCCCAATGCGTCCCTGACCTGCTTCCTCCAAACGGAAAAACTGAACGCCACAGTTCTAGAGGCAAGAACTGCGCCGCCGTCGAAATACTCAAGTCCTCCCACTTCACCTGCTAACGTCGTTGCCATATTTGTCGATGGTGTTTTTACCTTTGCCCTCGTCGACACAGAAGCTGCCATTTCTGTTATAGCCGCCCAGCTCTGCCGCTCCCTACGCAAAGTGACCACGCCGCTCTCTGGACTATCGCTTCGTACGGCTAGCGCACAACCAGTTCGACCTCTCGGCACCTGTACGGCCCGCACATTCATCCAAGGCTCTATGTACGTTGTCGAGTTCGTCGTCCTTTCAGTGTGCTTGCATGACGTTATCCTCGGGTGGGACTTTCTGTCACATCATCATGCCGTCATCGACTGCGCACACGCTGAAGTTCAATTTTCGCACCTGTGTGATGAACCTTTGCACGAAACTCTTGAGCGGTCGCCAAAACTCGTCGTGCGTGAGGACACTGAAATTCCGCCAGCCTCTCTTGCCGTTGTCCCTGTTTGCTGCGATGACCATAACGATGCTACAGTAATGTTTACACCTTCCAACATTTTCATGAGCCGCAGAGCCGTTTCCTTGCCTTTCGCTACACTTGACGTCACTGCTGGCCGAAGCAATATTTTCGTCCACAACCCCCTTTCTGCACCGCCTATGCTACTTGCCGGCGAATGCCTCGATTGAGTGGAGTACCTCGATTCTTCTTTATTCCTTAACATGCCAGGCGAGTCGTGCAGTAGCACCTAGACCAAACTTCATGCCCTTTCCCCACTGGAATGCTCATCGAGTGACATCTTCTCGAGTTCCACCGCCAACACCTTAAGTGCTCAAGAACGTGCCGAGCTTCTTAATCTCCTCCAGCACTTCGCGAATTAATTCGACGCTTCTCAGCCGCAATTGGGTCGCACTTCCGCAGTGCACCACTACATTGACACCGGTTCGCACCAGCCATTGCGTCAAAGACAGTACAGTGTCTGCTGCAGAACGTCATGTCATCAACGACCAGGTCGAAGAGATGCTACGCCCTCACGTTATTCAACCATCGCACAGTCCTTGGGCATCACCTGTCGTTCTAGTTCGAAAGAAGGATGGATTGATTCGATTTTGCGTCGACTACAGGCGATTAAACAAGGTGACGCGGACAGACGTCTATCCATTACCGCGCATCGACGCCGCCCTTGACAGCCTCCAAGAAGCCGAACTCTTCTCCTCCTTAAACTTACGATATGGATACTGGCAGGTTCCTACGGTAGAAGCTGATCGCCAGAAAATTGCGTTCATTACACCAGATGGCCTGTACGAATTTAACGTAATGCCTTTTGGGCTTTGTAATGCTCCTGCCACGTTTGAACGACTCATGAACAACACGCTGCATGGACTGAAGTGGTCTGTGTGTTTATGCTACCTCGACGACATTGTCGTTTTCTCTCCCAATTTTCCTCCACATCTGCTTCGCTCCAACTGGTTCTGACGTGCTTAACCAACGCTGGGCTCCAACTGAACCTTAAAAAGTGCCGCTTCACCGCGCGAGAGCTGTCCATCTTAGGGCACATGATGTCCAAGCATGGTGTTCTACCAGACCCTGCAAAACTGCGAGCAATTGCTGAGTTCCCGAAACCTACTACACTGAAAGAATTACGCAGTTTCGTCTGACTATGCTCGTACTTCCGGCGCTTCGTTCGAAATTTTGCCACGATCATGTAATCACTGACCAACCTACTACGCGGTGACGCAGACCTTTCATCCTGGTCTCCTGACTGCGACGTCGCGTTTGCCACACTCCGTAGTCTGCTAACATCTCCTCCCATTCTTCGGCATTTCGACCCAACAGCTGCAACGGAAGTTCACACAGACGCTAGCGGGGTTGGTCTTGGCGCTGTCCTCGCCCAACGCAAGCCGGGCTACTCCGAATACGTCGTTGCTTATGCTAGTTGCACGCTCACTAAAGCTGGAGCCAATTACAGCGTCACTGAAAAGGAGTGCTTAGCGCTAGTGTGGGCGCTTCGCAAGTTCTGCCCTTATTTGTACGGTAGCCCATTCGACCTGGTAACGGACCACATTCCACTTTGTTGGCTCGCTACATTGAAAGATCCTTCTGGCCGCCTAGCTTGGTGGGCACTGCAAATCCAGGAGTACGACATTCCCGTCATCTATCGGAGCGGACGCAAGCATTCCGACACTGACGCCCAGTCCCGTTCGCCTTTACCTCCCGACTCGGCCTGCGGAACCACTGGTACCAACTTCGTCACGTCTCTCGACCTCGACTCCTTTGCCAGTGAACAACACCGGGACCCATGGATCGCTTCCCTTTTTGACTGTCTCTCTGGATCGTCAACCACTGCGGTATCACGATCTCTCCGACGTCAAGCTGCTCACTTCGCCATTCGTGATCGGCTGCTACACCGACGCAACTATGCCCTTGAAGGTCGCA